TTCTAGAATTTTCAACAGGATAGTCCTATAGCTAGATCCTAGGATTCTAAAGAGGAGAAACTTGACATAATAAAAAATGAGGTTAATATCAATAAATCATAAAACGTCTGAGCCTTGAGATTTGGTTTCTCTTCTTGTTGCACTTGGCTCGCATAACGATGTCTTGTTCTATCAAAGATCATTTCTTCCAATCTGCTTGAGTCAAATCCAGGTGGAGGATCAGAACTCGCCGAATGAGAGGAGTTGAATATTGCAGGATCAACCTTCACATATGAAGTCCAAATCAAGTAATTTAGTTGCAATCACTAATGATATAGATCATATTTCACTTCGTCAGGGATTAGGCGTGCTTAATTTTTGTGTTTCTAACATGGTCACTGAAACTTACCCTTAGATAGGTAAACCGACAATTGAGAAGCAGCTGCCACAAATTCCTCGACACTAATCCAGAACTACTGGGTGATCTATTTTCTATCCGGATAAAGTATGTTGTACAACCACACTCTTGATGTATAAATATCCATGTATACCTTCAAACATGAGAAAAATAAACACATTATAAAATGCATTCAGTTGAATACATTAAAATTAATATTTGTAGTAGATATGTTGAACGTTGATAACCAAATGGTGATGAACTATGATAATAATCAACACATTTTAAAATGAGGGAACATTTTAGATAGCTTTAAAGTCAGAATGTTAACAGTCTGTTGAGGCTCTTAAGGCTATTGAAGACCGATTATTGATGAAAATTTATCCATAGTTTCTTTAATCTTAGTTGTCACTGTAGCTACAATAACCCTTTCAAGAGTATAACTTTTCACATTTTCTATATAAGTGTAAAGCCACTTATCCAAAAGCCACTTATCCACCTAAGGTATTCTCGTCTCAACAACTCTTACTAGATCACTTTCACATGATGTTTTAAGAGTTTAGTTAAAAGTTGAGGAATGAGGATGCGTAGGTTTATGATTGGTTCTTCACTCGGAGAGAAATTATTACAGAATTATATCTATGCAAAGGCTAGTATAGCTATAGAGGCATACAATAGTAGAGAGAGTTGTCTTAATGGGCCGAGAATCAATGTTTGACCAATAAAGATCTTCATTGGAACTAACATTACTAAAATGTCAAATGATCCGACTTGTAGTAGATCTAATTTTCAAATATAATATTGTCTGTCACCATTGCCACACCAAACCTTGCACAAATTTATTTCTTTCACATTTTATTTTGCAAACAGAAAGCCAATCATAGCATTAAGCATATTCGTTGCCGCAAACCCCAAACATGATTGACTATAGCTGGAAATATATTCTTAGAAGAAGATATTTCACAAGATGTAAGAATTTTTACTGTAACTTCAAGTGTGAAGTTTAATTTCCACAGTCAAAATGAAAATTGACATAAAAATCTAAGTTGTCATTTTCAATTTGGAAATTTACTATGAAATTAAATTTACATTGCCGAAATGGGAATTCAGGCAAAGGAATTTAAATTTTCATGAGAATTTGCATTCTAAATATGGAAGTTAGACTTTGCACTGGAGGATACAATGAAAACTCTTACGTCTTATGAAATATTTCTTTCTAAGAATATATCTCAAAGTTTTCAATCAATCGCATAAGGGGCTACGACGACAAACATTTTTAGTTCAATGACTGACCTTATAGTTGGAAACAAAATATGAAATAAATATGTCTGTGATACGGTTGGAGTAGCTACACTTGCAAACAGTATTTGAAAGAGACTTCATGAACTCTAAATAAACCGTCGTAATAACTTTTTAGCAATATGAAACAATAATTACCGCTAGAAAATTGACTGCTTTTAATTTGACTAGGATTTCTTTAGAGCCGACAACAATTATGCTTGAAATTAGACCGTTAAAAACCTACCGAGACAAATATTTATCAATATTTTATCTCTAATCTTATTAGGCACTATAGCTATACCAACTGATTCACGAGTATGTTTCATTCACATTTTAATTACAGATATAAAGCCAATAATTCGTAAGGGATTTGCGATTGCCTTTTCATTTGGAGACAAAATATGAAACAACTATATCTGTGAGCAAGCAGGTGTAGCTACAGTGGCATACACTATTATAAGGAGACACCTTAGTCAATTATGAGTCATTGTTTCACTGTTTAATGATCTTCGACAAAATTAACATACCAAGATTTTAAACGATCCAACTTCAAGCCGAGAGAATGTAGGTTCCACCAATCAACTTGAAATCTACTAATTACTCACATCACCATCTATATCACCATCACTTTGAATAAGAGACCCAATATATCTAGAATGTTCAAACCTTTTAAATGATTTGATCTCCCTTAGTTACAACAATGCCACTAGAGCTACTACTACTAAAATAACATTTCAAGTTTTTAAATCTAGATCTACTTAAACGAAGGACTTTAGACTCCAATATCAAACCCCATAATTTAAGTTTTTTCTAAACTCTTTCTCTAGCCTTATCCACAAGAAGGATATTACTGGCAAAAAGCATACACCAAGGTGCATTCTTCTGTAAATGTCCAGTAAGACCATCCATAAATAAAACAAAATATATGTGCTTAAAGTCAATCCCTGATGTAATTAGGGTTGTTAACGATCTGATTTTGAGCTGAGATAGGGTCAGTTCAAAATTGGCTTAAAAAAATTTAATCCAAAATTTTGGCTCGTAGCAACAGCTTATTTGTTTTAATCGGATCTCGATCCGAACCAAAATTTGAATCAGTTTTTTGAACGATTAATGATCTTAGAGCTAAATTTGCTAAATTCACAATCATATGTTATTAACCATCTAATTTCGAGCTGAGCTGGGGTTGGCTCAAAAAAAATTCGATCCAAAATTTTAACTCATAGCTGGGCTTATTTATTTTGTTCTGATCTCTCTTCGAGCCAAAATTTAAATCAATTTTCAAGCAATTAACATGTTCGAGCTAAATTCACAGCCCTAGATGTATTCCAACTGAAATAGAAAAATATTTGGCAAATCTCCTAGTTGTTAAATCCTAAACCCTAGACACGAAAATAAAAATGAAAATGAAGATAACAAGTTACCTACCCTGGTCTTTTAGGGTAGTAGAGGAGCAGAAGAAGGAGAAAAATGGGAGTTTCCAGTCATTGTAAGCCACGATCCCGCCACTACGTTCCCAGCTAGCTCCAATTGAAGGTGATGGTTTTGGACGAAACAGAGAGGGACATGCAAGAGGGACATGCGAGGGTTTCAATGAGAGGCAAGGGAGAAGGCGAGGGCTAGGAGGAGCGATTAGGGCAAAGCTGCGAGGGAGGTGATCTCGGGTGGGATATAAAATTAGTTTTGACGACATATCAATGGATTTTATTGCATCAGTTATTAAAACTATTACCGATGGTCGTTCTTGTCGCTTAAAAATAAAATGTCTTGGTTAAAACTCAGCCAAATGGCAGGTTCGATGATAACCGACGAATTATAGCTGTCGGTTAATATTTGCTTATAAAAGATGGGTTTGTTATAATTAAAAATTGTCAGAAAACAAAATAATGTTGCTAAACGATAGTATATGTTGTAGTTATGTCGTCATAAATAATCAAGATAAATAACAGTCGCAAAATCATCCATACGTAGACCAATTTTTCCAACATGTAAAAAACCTTCGGCTTTTCCTTCAATTTTACAGGTTTTTTCTTCGGTGCTGGTATCCATAGAAATAATTAAATCATTTGGGAAGAAACTTAAAATGGAGGCACTAGAATAATATTATATAATGAAATATAAATTTTAGGTAGCTTCTAAGAGTGGGAGGCTTTCTAGTACGCTCCTTGGGTTATTTTTATGGCATACAACCATTTGCCTTTTTGTACGAGTGTTAATGCATGCATTAATATAATGTGTTGTGTGTGTTCATGTTCTTCTAAATCAGCTCGATATGTCTTAAAAGTAAATTAATTATTGAAAAAAAAAAAAAAATCAAATTATTCTGAGTTAATGGTAGCTTAAGAAGCTAGACTTTTTGCATTTTCAAGTTGCTGAACGGATCTTTTTATTCTTCAAAAAGAGTGGTAAAAAATAACTACTATGAAAATCTAAATGGTTTGTTTCTCAGTTTTGCTAGTCGAGTAACTTAGAAGCAATAGGAACCAAAATCTAAATGTTTTTGAATATTATGTGACTTTCCTAAGTTTAATCAACATTCAAAAGTATGTTTTCTTACTTTAAACACTAAAATAGCCAGCCCTAACTGCATGGTAAAAGTTAATAAAGATCTTGCTTTGTGAAGATAGAGTAGGAACAATTACATAAATTTTACATCAATCCAAATAATAAAAAAATAAAGTAATCTTGATTATATAATTAAATATCTTATTTTTTCCATTTAAAAAATCTTCTCTCCTGGCTCATGTTGCCAGACTAAAAATACTTCCTTGTTTGGAAGGAACGCCCAATCTTTCCTCCAAGCCTCCAAGCAAGTCCCACAACCCCAAATCATGATCTTTTGCACAACTATTTGTTTCCTTCTATAACCAAAAGCTTCTTCGTCGGAAGCCGCATCTCATCCTCCCTCTTACTTACCTTCCAAAGCATAAAAAACCGCTCTATTTTCGACCGCTCTTTTTTCGAGGGCAAAGTACAAAACAATAATCTTTTGGATCCAAACCGCCATATTTTTAGCTCCAACAAGCAAGCAAAAATTTATTTAAGATATAATACTATTTTGAGTAGTTTGTATTACAGTTCTTAATGATTTGTTATAGAGTTTAGATTATCTGTAAATTGCAAGAGAATTTTAAAACCCATTTGTTACGTTAAAGTAGCATTATTTCCTCTGCAACTTTTTGCTCAGGTGCTGGTACTGCCATGCATGCTGCGAAACTACAATGCACTTTCCTTCAAGGTAACATCCTTGCACCTTCTCATTCCCTTATCCGCTTTCCTCTTCTAAGATTCAGCAATTATATATACCCAAGCACCCATTTCATGTTCTCTCAATCCACCACCTTTCAACAGTTGGCTTCCAGCTTTTCTCTCTCTCTCTTTCTCCCTGCTCCATACTATGGCTAACCTAAGCCCTGCAAAGAATCACTCAAAGTGGTTTCCCAGCAAAGCCCTCATGAAACTAAGCCTCCACCGCTTGCGATGGCCAAAGAAGCCGGCACCGGCCATAGAACAATCCCAAGACTGCTTTCGGGAAATGTTTCGTCGCTTCGACTCTGATGGCGATGGACGCATATCCAGTGAAGAGCTGCAATCCTTTTTAGCATGGGCCGGCGACCGTCTCTCGGCAAACGAGGCCGCCGTGCTTGTCCAAGATCTTGAAACGGATAATGATGGCCTCATTGACTATGATGAATTTGTTCGCCTTGTAGGAGGCGGTCAGCGACGAAACATAGCTGAAAGGGACTACGAAGAAGACCTTCGGCGGGCATTCAAGATGTTTGAAGGGGATGATGGGTCAGGATGCATCACACCGAATGGGTTGAAGAGGGTTTTGGGAAGGCTTGGGGAGAAGAGAACGGAGGAGGAGTGTGCTGCCATGATTAGGGTTTATGACCTTGATGGAAATGGTGTACTTGACTATCATGAGTTTCACAGGATGATGAGTTAGGTGATTGTTAGGGTTTTGGAGGATTGGAGAGGCTTTTAAGTTTTGGTTAGTTATTAGTGTGATCTCAGCTCCTTTTCATGGGATTTGCATGAGTGCATGATGTTATGAAGAGTTTAATTGGTGGTTGATAAGTTTTTGTCTATTTAGGTTGTCTTTTGTTACTATGTAGGGCATATTGGTTTAAATTTTTATGTATTGTGGAAGTTTTGAGTCAAATATGATTTCCATTTATCTTTCTTTCAATTTCTTAACTTGATTTTTTTCTTCTAACAGAAAGTCAAATATGATTTCCATTTATCTTTCTTTCAATTTTTTAACTTGGTTTTTTCTTCTAACAGAAAAAAAGCTTGAAATAATCGAAGTGAATTTAAGAGTAATGATCACTAAAATTTTTTAAGCTCTTTTATTAGGTTAAATTTTCATAAGAAACTCTATAATGATTTATTCAAATGAGGAATCTCATGATTTTTTTGGTATTTTAAATAGGTCAATTTTTAATCTTATTCTTTTATATGATAAATATATAAATATATATGTATTTTATTTGTTTAAAAGAAGAGATGGTATTTTATTGAGATTTGATTATCTAATTAGGTTCAAAAAAATAAGATTCTTATGTCTCCCATAGTCCTGATGCCTTGAACCACTTCCTACTTCATGTAGATGCATAAAGTAATTGTCCCTCATATTCATTAGAATGAAGTAT